AATAATAATAGTAATAAATAAAAATAATTGATAACCCTGTATATTAAAATTGATAAAAGGCTTAAGTGAAGCTGAGTAAGTAGATAAAAAGATTGGTTTTCTAGATTAAAAAGGAGGTTGAGAAAAGTCAATTTTGAAAGATGAGAAATTTTGGGAATTTTCAGAAAGTCAAAGAAAATTTTTAAATATAGTTATAAATTAAAAGATATAGCGAGATTAAATAAACAAACTATTAAATTGTAAATGTAAAAGGTAATAAAATGTGTGAGAGGAGAAACAAGAGAAAAGAATACATACAAGAAAGGTGATAGGCGACAAGAATAACCAGGACAGATTAGTGATACCCCCAGACCGAGAAAAGAATAGTGATACCCCAGACCGGAAGAAAACGGTATTTATAAACATTTTATTTTTGTTAATGCTTGAACTTCGACATAAAATAGACATTCATAACTAGTTTTTCTTTTAAAATTTAAAGTTGTTAACATAATTATAGTTAATTTTAGTAATTCTTATAAATCACCCAAATTATATAATAATTGGTGATTTTTTTTTGTTTATATAATTTGTATTGGACATTGATAAGTTTAGTAGGTGTAGTAGGTAGATATTAAGTATTTTCATTTTAGTACAGGTATTTAAACACAATGTATTTTTATGCATATTATGTTATTTAAAAATATAGTCATTTAATTTTAATTATTGTCTAGTATATATTTGTATTTAGATTTACTATATTGTATATTGTATGTATTTTTTATTCTAAATTATTTTCGAAACAAGTGTTAAATCGCTTATCGAGCATAATAATTTATTCTAATTTACTATATTAACATGTACTTCTATTTTTGAGAATAAATTATATTATTATTATTATTATTATTTGTTTCAATTTGCCCATAGTGGTCTTGTTAAAATTAAATTATTCAATTTTGGAAAAGTTTGTTTATTTAAATCTTTAATTGTTAGATATACAGGTATCAAATTTATCTAGAAGAAACTTGCATAATTCTAATTGAACTAAATAAATTACATAAACTAAATAAACTTAATAAACTTAATATACTAAATAAACTAAACTAAACTAAATAGAGTTAATAAACTAAATTTTAATAAATTAAAAAAAAAATATATTACAATTCATGAACCGACACCACTGAGAGAAGAGAATCTGCTCTATATAAAATAAAGTGATAAAATATATATATAAAAAAAAAGCTGGCCGAGGTAAGTTTAGATTATTGTGTATTTTTATAAATTGTGAGGTTAAATAAGAGAACGTAACAATATATACATATGTTTTGATTTGTCTGGCACCCATTACAATCAACATGAAAACGGCACCCAACGTATATCGTATATAAAATTTATTGAAAAAGTGGCTCCCACAAAAATTATTGTATTTGTGACACCTTATGTGTATAAATTTTATTTACGAATGCTTAACGAGGCACCCGCCAATGTTGTCAGATTTAAAGGTGCCATGTTGAAAAGAACTATAAAGGAATTATATGCACTGTTGTCATAAAGTGACTCATGTATTTATTATTGTTTCGTCTAGGTGAATCATTTATCATTTATATTTAATAAGAGAAGCAATTGAGATGTATTGAATTATAGTGTGTAAATAAGTCAATTTTAAAATGTTTTATAAAAAATTATTTATCTTAATCTTAATTCAACATTTAGTGAATGTCTTTCCTTGCACTGCAATGCAAATAATATGGCTTAGCCCAATGATTATTTGAGGAATCAACCCCACTTGGTTACCGATTAATTGAATATGAGGCATTAAGTCAAACAAGTAAGTCCTATTTCTTGTTTTTTCGCTTATATCTTGAAAACGGGGCACTGTAGAAAAAAATCTTCCAAAATAAAAACTAATTAAATTTCCTATAAAATTTTTTCTGTATATACAGGGTACCAGGCCGGATATTTCGGTAAGATATTTTAATTCTGTAAAACCCAGTTAACATACCACTAAGAGAGCTTCAGTTTTAGACATAAATTTATTTTAAATAGGTTAATATGTAGATGCCGCTGCGCTCAATAATTTTATTTTTCGATGGAAGGATCTTTCTTATGTAGTGCATTTTGTAAAAAATGCATTTTTTAGCAGATTTTGTTTTATAAACTAATTAGATAAATCTAGCTATTTTTGATATACAGAGTGGGCCACTCAAAACAGTTTCATCCTGTATTTTGGCATTAATCATTGGATTTTAAGAAAATGCTGAAACTGATTGATTTTTATCCCAAATTAAAAACATTTTTACAATGCAGACATCTGTTATCTGTCAATCCCCTTCCCTGTACTTCTCTAACCCCTTAATTTTAAATAGGTAATGTACCATGTGTGGTACATCAGTGAAAAGGTAATTTAAAGGGGGATTTAGAAATATAACAACATGGCGTGACTCACATTTTAGCGTCCTCTAGCGGGATAAAAACTATTACGTATTATAAAGTGTGACACTACCAATAATTTTATGGGAAATTTAAAAATATGACTCTTTATTGCGATACTTTTAATTTTACCGCTCTTTATCGGGATAAAAAATTGTAACGTATTATAAAGTATGACACTTTATTTGAAAGCAAATTTATTTATTAATTTAATGCACTACATTACAGTAATATTAATATCCTTTATATTGCACTAATGAAAATTAGTCATGTATCATTTTAAACATTATTGCAAACTTTATTTTGTTGCAAGTACAATATGGAGGTAGTTATATTAACGTTATGTGGTGCATTTAATTAGTAATTAAATTAGATTTCAAATGAAGTGTCATTATTTATTATACGTAACAGTCTTTTTATCCCGATAGAGGGAGCTAAAATTAAACGCATCGCAATAAACACTTATATTTCTGAATTCCCCATAAAATCACCTTTTCAAAGGTGTACCAAAGGTTCGATTACAATAAGAAGAACGCCGCTACGTCATAACTAATATTTCGAATTTTCAATATATAACATTTATAACTATCAATAAATAATGAATATATGAGTTGTTTGGTTAAAAAATACCATTTCTACCTTTTTAATTATATTAACACGCCATTAAACCCCCAGAATTCGGTGATAGCCAAGGAATTACTCCGCCAAATGATGACGTAGTTGTGTTCATCTTATTGTAATCGGACCCTACATGGTAGTATCACACTTTATATCACGTAATAGTTTTTATCCTGCTAGAGTGCGCTTAAATTAAAAATAACGCAATAAACAGTCATTTCTGAATACATTTTCAATGATGTGCCGTACATGGTACATTCCCCATTTAAAATTAAGGGCTTGGAGAAGTGGAAGTGTGTTGAATTTGGAATAAAAATCGACCTCTTTTAGTTTTCTTAAAACTTTATGAATAATGCCAAATAACAGGGTGAAACAATTTTGAGTGGCCCACTCATATCGAGGAAGATCATCCCATTAAAAAAAATGAGCGACAATTACATTTTGACCTATTTAAAATTAATGTATATCTAAAACTGCAGCTCTATTGGCGCTCTGTGAACTGTCATTTACAGAATTAAAATATCTCTATTTATTACCAAAATATTCGGCCTTGGGAGTTTTTATTAATATATATTTGTGAACTTATCAACGGTTTTCGAGATGTACGTTATTATAAATCGATGATTTTCGAAAAAATAATTTTTAAAGGTGTATCTTAAATTGAAGGAAATTCAATGCACTGCAACCTTGTTTCTGACAATTTTTCTGAGAAACGATCGTAGGGGGCACATAAGCAAATGTTTAACAAAAACGGGAGGTAAAAATTATTTTTTCGAAAATTATGAACATCTCGAAAACCAAGACAAATATATATATAAATAAAAACAATTTTATAGGAAATTTAATTAGCTTTAATTTTTTTCTACATTGCACCGTTTTCGAGATATAAGCGAAGAAACAAAAAATGGGACTTTTCCACCCCTCACCAACCTTAACTCAACTCCATGCATTCATTGACTGAATTACTCGTAATATTACATTCATTTTGTAATGTACTTTTTTGTTTCATTTTAGAATAGCAATTATTACTAGTAAAATACACACAATTTATGACATGATTATTATTAATATTATTAGTTTTTATTCTTTTACTAATAACTAAAAAAAAGTATATACAGAGTGCGAAAGTTTTATTGAACACTATTGGGAATTCGTAAACAGTTATAGATCAAAATTGGTTAAATGGGAAAAAAGATGCGTATTTTCAAGACGAATTCATTGTTTTTTCAAAATTAAAACATCAGGTCCGTTTTCCGATATATTTGAGAAAACCGAAATTGACGATTTTTGTTTTATTTAATTAACACCTTAATTTTTAAAGATAGGACAAACTTTATTAGGCATTTTTATTGAAGGCCAAATATCTCTTAACATAGCCTATCCAATTTTTTCGTCATTAAAGGGCCACCCTCAATTTTTTTTATACCTTTACTTTTAATTTCTTTTTTAAAATCTCCATTTTTTCTGTATCCAACAATGTAGAACACTTATTTTTATTTTATTAGCTTTTGACAATGACCTGTACTTTAGGAATTACGGTTTTGTTCCATTTTCACCATAAATGTAAAATTTATATCCACAAAATATGTTCAAAAATTGACATGCTTAAAAAATATTTATGGTAAATTGAAAAGGACCATACTTTTACAAATTTCTAAAGTACAGTTCATTGTCAAACCCCTGTAAAACAATTAAGTGTTCTACAAAAATGAAATAAAAAGTACAGGTTCGAATTTTTTAAAAAAAGTTGAAGGTTGTTTTAAAAAATTGAATACGCACTAGGTGATAATAATTTGTGAAAATTAAAATTTGATTTTATCAAGGTTAACTAATTGTTTAGTTCTTTTCTTATCATTCAGATACTTACCATTTTTTTTAAATAACGTATTAAAATCTTTTATTTAATTGAAAGAAAAAACTTTTTAAACTTTTTTTAATTAACTGATTTGATAATTAAAAAGACATAATTAAATTGCATTTTTATTTTAACCTATATTCATTAAATACAAATGTTTTTACTTTTAGCCAACCAATTCCGGCAATACTAGGATGCTTAGTTATGAATGCTTCACATTCTCCTTTTTTAGCGTCTTTTTTAGTGCTTATTTGCTTATTGAAAAATGTTCGCAATGCATTTTTTTGAACGGATGTCCACTGCATCCTTGAATCTGAAAAAATAATTTTGTTTTATTTCTTTAAGCAAAAAATATTTTATTATTTACAGTAAGCAAAATAACATATCAATTTACAGAAATTAGCCACGACTTCTATCAGCTGTGTAAATTTGAATCATACAGCATGGCGATAAAATCTTACATTGGTAAGCAAATTCGCAATTCATTGGGTCACATAATCACATTAAAGTTACAGTAGAAAAATACCTTTTTTTTAGATGCAGCATTAACTGTTGTTGTTGTTGTTGTTGTTGTTGTTGTTGTTGTTGTTGTTGTATCATCTATATCTACAATATCTAAATCTACCGGTAATTCGTCTTGATCAAAAATTAAGCCAAGTTGTTAAATATTACGTACACTGGGGCTTGGAAAAAATCCCAATTTTAAAAATCACTTAGGTAATAAATAAAGATCATTTTTAAATTACATAATTCACAGATGAATGGTTTTGTTATGGCTACATGATGGTTAAAGCCAATACTTAAACTGATTAGAAACTTGATTAGTCGGAAAATTATCTTTTTTTTTTAGCGCCACTATTTGTTTATTGCCAAATAAAACAGTGTTTTAAAAATAACTGTTCAAACGGTAACATAAAACGGAGAGAATTATATTTTATAAAAGCAATTTACCAGAATTCGTATAAATATCTCTTTGGAATACTTATGTAGACTTTAATTTTAATATTCTCCTGAAAATGCTAAAGTATTGGTTACAGAAAAATCTGTCGTGTGTGTTTATAAATAAAAACAGTGTTTGTCTTATTTCTTTGGAATTTTTCTAGACAAAAAAATATTATAAATATAGATAAAAAATATAACCCACAGATTTTGTCAAAGCAGAAGGCTCACGCAAATATTCCGGTCTCTTAGAAGCAGGACTAGGCACGTAAAGTACGCGAGATTGGAGTTTTTCCGCGGGATTGCATTATCTACCTGGGATATTTACCAAACACCATGTTTAAAGTTAATTACCTAAAAATGTATTATTGGATAATTCATCCTGCTGAATGTTATTAACATTAACTTCATCTAGTTCATCAATTTCCTCCATATCAATTTCGATGTCTTCTAAAGATTTATTTTTAAATCGTGCCGCATTCCCCTTTTCCATTATATGCAGGATTTTAGATACCTTGGCAATCTGATAGACATCTTGAGGTAATCTAAAAATAATAATTATGCAGGATAAAATATTCATTATTTTTTTACAATAGTTTTTTTAATTTCTGTCAAAAATAATAAAAGTTATTTGTGTCTTCGTTGGGTAATTGTACATTATTATACAGGGTGTTACCAAATAAGTGTAAAAGTTTACAGGAGGTGATTCCTTGTCGAAAATTAAAGGGGATGTTTCATCTAAACAAAAGCTATTAGGCCTTTTCTTGAAAAGTTACACGATTCCAAAAATTATAAAAAAAATAGTATTGTTTTTTCTTAAAATTACTGATGAGCTAAGGAAATGGCATTTTGTAGAAATGTTTTACCATTAAAAAAGCTATCTAAAAATATTATTTCATTTTGTTTTGATGTTTTAAACGGCAGAAACATGCAACCCCTATTCCATTTTTTTTTAATTTTTTAACAAAACAAAATAACAATTTAAAAACATGTGTTGAAAACAACGATTTATTTTTTAACTCTCGTGTTTTTTTTAATTTGGTGTCATTAGGCCATTAGCCTCGTGTTATTTGTAGGCTTTGTTACTGTTTCCCAACGCCACTTTAAGAACAGCACTGTTAATTAGAACCCAACAGTGAATGGTCGAGTGGGGAATCCTACTAAGGCATCAGAATTAATTTTAAATAATTAAATTAAATTTAAAAATCCCGCCCAACTGTGCGATTCGAACCTGGGACCCTCGGATGCACAGGCAGAGAGTTTACCACTGAGCCACCCACCCCTCAACTCTAGTGTTGTTTCCGAAAAAAAATAGTTTCTTAATAAAAAAAATAAATATACAACATCGTGCATGAACGGATCTTCTGTAATAGAAATCAAGGAATCGAAAAAATCTAGTAGGTGACTGTCGTTTTGATTTTTATGTGGTAGCAAAAAGTTCAAATTGCTAATTTTTAAATCTTCAATATAAATAATTTTATGTATGGTCGTGCCAATGGAAACTCTTTGAAAGCTAGAGGGTCAAGAGCTTTTGTTTACATGAAACACCCCTTTAATTTTCGGCAATGAATCACCCCCTAAAAACTTTTGCACTTATTTGGTATATAGGCATTCATAAAATATCAATATTTTTTGCATAGATCAAAATTTTAATTTATAACAATTATTTTTTAACAATGTAGAAATTTAGCTACATATTCTTATAATTTCTTAAACTAAAAAATTGTACCTTATTTTAAGTCTCTATTCATTTAACTTTATTGGTATATTATCCCTTTTAAAATTGATTTCCTAGTCTAAATATTTATTTTTAATAAAAAATAGTACTTACTTTCTTTTTCTATCAATGCAAGTTTTACTATTTTTCTCGTTCTTCCAGACATTGTAAATAAAAATACAAACAGCTTACACTTTGGATGCCACTAACATAATAATATCGCACGATTTAAATATTTAAAACCCAGAAATGAAAAATAAATACTAAGCAACTAATTTCTTATCAGAACTTCGTAATTTCCACATAGGTATCAAATATCCACCGATGAAGCCTCGCCTCAACAGCGTTGTCATTTCGCGGGTGCCACCAAATAATAGCATAATAAAGGGCCAGATTAACAAGATTTGTATTTTAATATACACGTATATATAGCAGAGCGACATCTGTATTTAAATTATTGAACTAAACTGTATAATCCAGACCAATAGTGGTAAATTTGACACCCGTCTTATTTTTTGTCAACAAACTTAGATGGACTTTTCCAAGCGTATGGCGAGTTTAAACACATAAAACAAAGTGGCACCCAAACCTGGGTGTCTCTTTGCTTATTTGGGTGCCATATTAACAAAAAATATAATGTTATGGTGCCACAATTACAATATATATATATATATATATATATATATATATATATATATATATATATATATATATATATATATATATAATGATATCCAGGCCATTTCGAATTTATGGTTTCAATAAAGTTTTCTGTTATCGTAAGCTGGTAAGTCTCTATTTATGGGAAAAAAAAGGACATGTAGATCTTCTGAATAATAAGGAAGTATGCTGTTGGAATAAATACAACTTCTAAAGTTCGACAGGTAGGTATAACTTTCTACAAATAGAGGGGTCGTTTTAGTTCGCCAATATGGATGAGTTAGGGTTAATATTGAAAGGCTATGAATGGAGTTTAGGTAGGTTGCGTTTCTTGAAGTTGCTTTGGCTATAAGTTTGTGGCTTATGTATTGTCTTCCGAGTTGTAGTGGTGGTTCAATAGCTTCGGCTTCCATTATGTTTATTGGGGTAGATTTAAGATATCCTAGGCTTATTCTGAGGCATTTATTTTTTTTGCGATTCAACTTTTTTTAGGTGTATATTGGCTGCAGAACCATATAGATGACTGCCGTAGTCTAAAATGCTTCTTACCATAATTTTATAGAACATTAAGGCTATATTCGGATCTGCTCCCCACTTAGTTCGACAAAAGGCTCTTAAGATGTTTATTGCGTTTTCTGACTTCTTTATAGTTTGGTGGATAGTATCCTTCCACAATAATTTCCTATCCAAGTATAGTCCTAAATATTTGATGCTATTTTTGTTTGGAATTAAATATGGTCCTAGTCGAATTTGGTTTTGGGGTGCGTTTCTACTTCTTTGGAATAAACAAATTTCTGATTTTTTTTCCGAGAGGGTTAGATTGTTTTCATTAAGCCATTTATGTAATTTTAGGAAACTGCCATGTAGGTTCGTTTGGCATGTTTCAACATTTTTACCTTTAGAATATATAACGATGTCATCAGCGAATTGTATAATTTTAGTGTTGCTTAAAGTGTTCTCTAGGTCTATTGTGTATAGTATATATAGGAGTGGGCTTAAGATACTACCTTGTGGAAGTCCTACACTTGAGTTTCTTGATGTGGTAAGCTCTTGATTAATTTTTAAGAATATTCGTCTATTTGTATACATTGAGTTTATAAATAAACATAGTTGTGCTGGTATGACAATAGATATCATTTTTGAATGTAATATATCCAGGTTTACATTATCAAATGCTGATGATATATCTAAAAATGCAGCTGCTGTGATAAATTTATATGTGAAATGTGTCTGGATATCTGATATTAGTGCTGTAATAGCTTCGAGCGTAGAGCTAGATTTTCGAAATCCATATTGTGATTCAGGAATTATCTTTTCTCTTTCTAGCCAGTGCTCAAGACGGTTTTTTATTAGACGTTCTAGGGTTTTCAAAATGCATGATGCCAGTGCTATGGGTCGGTACGAGTTAGCTTGATCCGGAGGTTTTCCAGGTTTTTTTTATTGGTAAAACAATGTATTCTTTCCAACTTTCCGGTATTGGAGATCCTCCACTCCAAATGGAATTATATATATTTAAAAGTGATTTTTTGTGTTCGTTAGATAAATTTGCAATCATAGAGTAAGATATGTTGTCTGGAGAGGTGTTGTTTGATTGTTTCAGAGATCGTTCTAATTCCCAACTGCTAAATGATTTTAAAAGGTGTAAATTATTTCTAGGTACGTAGTTAAAGCTGTGTTGGTTCATTTGAGGTACCCAGTCTGGTGAGATTTTTGCATGAAATTCTTCTATCCACGCGGATTCTGGGTCAGTCGGAGGATTATTTTGTTGTTTTCTATTTTTAAAGCTGTTTAGTTTTTTCCATACTTCTGTAATGGGTGTGTTTTGGTTTAATTTCTCGCAATAGTTGATCCATTTTTCTCTTTTTGTTTGTTTAAAAGTTCTCTTTGCGATTGCATCAAGTCGTTTATAATCAATTAAGTTTGCACTGTTCGGATTATATTTATATATTCTAAATGCTTCTCGTCTTTTCTCAGCTGCAGTGTTACATGCGTCATTCCACCAGGGTTTTGGAAGTTGATTTTGATGGATGTTAATGCTTGTTCTTTTCTTTGGAATTGCATTTTGTGCTGCTGCATTTATGTTGTCAATTAGTTCATTGTAGTTATTTGCAACTGTTCTGGATTCCAGAGTTGAGTAATATTTATTCCAGTCGGCTTTTTTTAGTGACCAGATGTTATGGTTTGTATTTATTGAGCTTTTGTAGGAATTTGTTGTGGTGAAGTTCATAATGATGGGTAGATGATTTGATCCATGAGGATCATTTATGACTGCCCATGAAAAATATTGTGTAATATCTTGGGTGCATATTGATAAATCAATCGCGACTTTACTGCCCAGAGTCACAAGGGTTGAAGAACCGTCATTTAAGTATATGAGATTACATTGATTAAGTGCTTGGGATAATGTGTTCCCGTAAATATCGTTAGAGTCGCATCCCCAGGCGAGGCTGTGGGCATTAAAGTCGCCAGTTAGTAAAAATGGTTTCGGGATATTATCTAAGAAGTTTATCCAATCTTGCAATTCTATCCGGGTAATGATTTGATCGAAATACAAGTGCATTCGATGCCTACGGGTTTTTGTATTTGTACCTCGTTGTATAAACTATTTGTTTTAATTAATATAGCTACGCCGCCGTATCCGTCATTACGGTCTGCACGGATTGTATTGAATCCTCTAAAGTTATAATATATGCCTGGCTTGAACCAAGTTTCTGATAAAAGTGCAAGGTTGCATTGTTTTTATAGAGAAGATATTCAAGATTTCCTTTGTTGGAAACAGCCGATCGGCAGTTCCACTGCAAAATCTTGAATTTCCTATCTATGTCTGCGAATTTGGTAAATTTTCAGAACTGTCAGAAATATTTACGTTTAATTGTGTACTAATTATTTGTTTTAAATCATTAACTGATACATTAAAGTTATTTGTTTCTCTAATTGTCTGTAAAATATTAGTTACTAATTCTAAAATAACTTTTACTAAGTTGTGTTCTATTTCTGGTGTTCTGTCTGATTGTGAACTATTGATCGGTACTAAGTTTGAAATATAATTTGGGTTTCTTAAAATGCTTGTATTGGGACCTGGATTTGTATACTGTGAAATAATTTCTCTACGCGCAATACTTGTAGGATCCGGGCTATTTGGTCTCTGCCTTTTGTTACCCTTAGGTGTGATTGGTGAGTGATTGGTTTTATTAAAGTGTTGTAAGACTGTCTGATGACTTTGGGAGGTCTGAGAATTGTTATAACTGGAGCGAGCCAGGGGTATCAATATTTGTTAAATAATTATTGGAGACATGATTATTTGTCTGTCCTGGACCTATTATTTTATTTTCTATGTTTGAGGCGACTGTTGCATAAGAATTCCTAGGTATTTGTTTATTTGCATCGTGATAGCTTATATTTGTTGTGGACATGGAATCTTTAATTAATTTTTGTCTACTGAATTCTGGACAGGCGCTAAGATTGGTGGTGAAATGATCCCCGGAGCAACTGAAACATTTTGGTCTGAATTCTGTTTCTTTACAATCATTTGAGTTGTGTTGTTCCCTACATTTGTTACATCTAGCTTTTGAATTGCACTGCTTTCCTAAATGTCCGTATCTCAGACAATTAAAACAAAGCAGTACTTTTTGTTTATATCGCTCAACTTCTTTTAAAATTTTACTAATCGTTACATATTTGGGTAGCGTTTGCGATTTATAGCTAACTACGCACGATCTTGTGGGGACAAATTCTATTTTTCCGTCATTTGTGACTTTCCTATTAATTCGTTTCACATTTAAAACTTCAACATTACAATATCTATCATAATTTCTAATTTTATTTTTAATATATTCTTCCGAAAATTCGGGGTCTATATCACGAATAACGCCCTGTCTAGTTACTATAAATCGTAGACGAACTTCTATGCAGATTGACTGACCTCGGCATACCCGTCAAGGTTATGCCGACGACATAGTCATATTTGCTAGTGGCAAGTTTAGTAATATCCTGTGTGATATAGTCCAAAGAGGACTAGAACATACCAAAAGATGGTGCCGTGAAGTGGGACTTAGTATAAACCCTACAAAAACATCACTAGTAGCCTTTTCAAGGAAAAGAAAACTTAATCTCAAAACCGTTAAATTAGACGGGATAGATATAGAATGGAAAAATGAAGTCAAATATCTAGGCCTAACCCTGGACAACAAACTTCTCTGGAACACACATGAGAAGGAAGTAGTAAATAAGGCCACAAAAGCCCTAATGGTATGCAGAAACATGGCGGGTAAACGATGGGGATGTAACCCAAACATACTGCGATGGATGTATACTGCAATAGTGAGACCAATCATCACTTACGGGGCTATAGCCTGGAGTAACGGAACTAGTTTAGTTACTACGAGAGCTAATATCTCAAAAGTACAAAGACTAGCCTGTGTTTGCATTACTGGTGCAATGAGAACCTGTCCTACGGCCGCAATGGAGGTGATCTTAAACCTCACCCCTCTACATTTGATGATAGAGAATGTGGCAAAAAGGACACGATATAGAATGATCAGGAGCGGAGTAATCAGACGACAGTCTACTTGCTTCAGGACTAAAGATACCTGGGACATGCCCCAGGATGAAATGCAAAAGAAGTACAGTTTTGTGAAAAACTTCAAAACCACAGAGCTGGGCTGCAAGAAAGAATGGAGCCAAGAATCCATCGCGCTTGCAACCGAAAGACGTGC